TTATTACAATATGTACGTATATAGATCATAGCCGAAAGTACAAACGTCGCTTTCTAGCCTGAAAAGTGACAAATTTACAAGCTCATATGAAACTACGATCTTCATATAAAGTGAGCTCCTTGGGTAACATTAGCTGCTCTATCTGCCTGACAATTCTCGACTACCTGAATTTATTTGCCAACTTGACACTAAAAGCTTGTGGTGTATGTTATCGGGAGCCATGAGAGATCGTCTCTTAATCCTCCCTTCCCAAAAAATTAGGAAAAAAAAAAGTTTTTTTTTTTTTTTTAGTGAGAAAGAGATTAGAAATATTTCAAAGTATGTAGCACAAAAAGTGGCCCAAAGGCTCTAACGAAGACTAGTAGGTTCCGCAATCCCAGAAGGGTTTTTTTAATATGTCCTAGAACTGTGTAGGCTTTATATTTGCTCCAGGGGCAAATATTCCTTTACTTGGATCACCATTTTCTTCTTCATTTTCTTTTGTGGGGGTTGGGGGTTCTTCTTTTTTCTTTTCCTACGTTAACATTTCCATTATTAAGACTTCAACCCGAAGAGCGGTCTAAATCTGGTTCTCTTCTTCATTTTCTCTTGTGGGGGTTGGGAGGTTCTTTTTTTTTTTTTTTTTTTTCTGCATTAACATTTCAATTATTAAGACTTCAACTCGAAGAGCGGTCTAAATCTGATTCTCAATATGATAGCTATTACACATACAATGTAGCAACTAGTGCGTGAAGCACACTTTAAGTCTGTGCATATTTTAGGAAAAAATAAATAATGAAAAAGTATAGTAGTAACAGTTAGGTACGTAGATGTCGGAGTTTAGAGCATAAAATAGATGGTCGTGTATTATTCTTTCTATCATATAAGGATAAAATTGAAATAACAAATAATGATAGATTTTTTTAACATCAAATCCATGTGTTATGCATTATATATATACTAGTTTTTTGCCCTGACGCTGTGCGTCAGGTAGCTGGGATTTCTTAATTTACTATAATGGGTATTAGTCTGGAAAATTGGAGTGTGAGAGGAGTAGTTAATTTATTACAATAGGATTTGTTTGATATAGTGTTTTTGTATGTGCATGGGGAATGAACATATCGATGAATAGATTTAATGAGAATTTTAATTATGATTTAAAGGTTTTAATACAAACAAAAAGAATGGTAAAATGATGGAGTCACCTGAGAAGTGCCATTGCGAGAATTTGAATACAAGTGTTAATTATTTTCCAGTTTTACAATTTTTGTTGTAAGGCGTAGGAGCACAGGATAAAAACATATATTTATAAAAGAAATAGATAAACTGTCATCTGATAAAATGATAGATGTAGTAGAACATTTCTAAACAAGAACGGTCAAAATGAGAGGAAATTGGTGAGTGCCTAAGTGTTCCCAATGAAGAGTGTCGCGCGGTCAGCAGTGAATTTTCAGCAAAAGTATTACGTTGGGTAGGTTCGAAAGAATTGTTTAGTCGGTAAGAAAAGCAAGGAAAGTTATTATACATTTGTCCCTGGATTCGAAATGTATAAACTCTATTGTAGTTTGCAGCCAAAGATTTATCAGAATAGATACCAATCGAAGTGAATGCAAACATGTTATTATAGCTTCTAACACATCTGCGAAACTCAGCAGCCTCATCAGAGTCTTCTATATATAATAGCATAAGTTCTCTCGGCATCTCAGTAGGTAATAACTGTACCTCACCGGAGGCACAGCAAAAACCAGGAGGTTCCTGATGAAATCGTTTTGCATGACAATATGGACAACTTGGAACATCAGGCAATACAGCAGGTTCTGTAGCTATTGTAGTTAATGGATCAGTCACAGCTCGTTTTCTAGATCGACGTTGCCTGCGCAATGACGGTTCAGCAGCATCTGAATTAGTTGATGGAATCTCGTTAGCACCATCAGCAATAGACGCACAGACATTTTGTTCATTTTCCTGCAAACCAGCCAAAGCGTACTTAAGGACCATGAATTCAGTGTGCCTAAGTCAATCAATCTGACTTGTAATAGACAAAAACTAATATGTCACCCACTGGTTAGTCTAGCCATAGTACATGTCTAGATAAAACCACCGGTAATATAAGTAGTCTAACATTTATTGCAAGGGGTCTAAACAACAATCTTATTGCATGAAAGATGCTCAAAATAAGCACAAACATACGGTTGGAAATTGCTCTACATTACTGGGCAATACTGCAGGCTCTGTAATTATTGTGGTCAATGGATTAGTCACAGAGCGTCTTGTACACCGACGTCGCCTATGCAAAGATGATTCACCCGCATCTGAATTAGTTGTTGGAACCTCGCTAGCACCATTACCAGCAGACCTAGATACATCTCCTTGATTTTCCTTTAAAACACCCAAAACATAGTTAAAGATTGTGAGTTTAGTATGCTTAACTAAGTCAGACTCGTTTGTCTCACCAAAGTACATGCTTAGGCGAAACCACTGTTAACATAAATAATTTAACATTTATTCCAAAAGATTTAAACAACAATTTATATTGCATGAGACATGCTCAAAATAAGCACAGACATACAGCTCGAAGGTGCTCTGCATTATTCTCTGCAAATGGCAATACTGAGCCCGAACCTAATGAAGATTCAACGACACCCATATTTGGCTGATTCACAGCATTTGGGTCATGTATATTAAAAGCCGTAACAGCTAATGTACACACTCCTAATGGCGCATCATTCTTTGTCCCACGCCGAGCAGCAGCACGTTGCTCGCGGCTCCTTCGATTTTTCTCAGCACGAGCCTCTTCCAAACTTCCATATACTCTATTTCGACCCATTCTCAAAGCATATTATACACAGCTCAAGCGGAAACCAAACAAACGTCTAAAATGAACCATACAAAAGAACCACAGCAACAAAAAAGAATTTCCAGCGAAGCCAATCAAACAGTGAAGTACTTTAAAACCAAAAGAAACTTTCTCAAGTTATTTCCGAAGCTACCAAAAAAAACCAAAAAGAAGAGCGAAAGCTAAAAAAAAAATCCCGCTGACCGCATAAGCTGTTCAAGTTATTTCCGAAGTTGCGAAAGAAAACTAAGAAGAAAAATTAGAGCCAAAAAGAGATTGAGCTCACGGCCTAAGTTTGCTGAACAGTAAAACAGTTCAAAACCAAAAGAAACTTTCTGAAGTTATATTTGCTGAATAGCTGAAAACACAAGCAAGAAAACAATGAGACCAAATTGGTGACCGAGAACGAGCAAAAGAGAATAAGAGCCATGCAGACCCATAAACCGCTTCGGACAGCAACGACCAACAACGCGTGTACTGTAGCTAAACCAACTCACCCTTTTTTTGGACACCTGGTAAAGAAAGCCACTCACCCCTGGTAAAGAAAGGCACGCGGACAGCAGCCACCGCCCACTCGCTAGTGGAACCAAAGCAACTACAAACAAGAGGGCCACACGGACAGAGCAAAAAGGGCCAAGAGAGAGCCACGCGGACAAAGCAAAGTTACAATGCAAAAGACCCAGCGGACAAAAGCAAAACACCAAAGCCACAAAAATACGACCAAAACACCCCTCAAAGCCACGAGAATCACGCGATAACCGGCTCATCCTGCACTATTCATAAGGCTACAGAGAGAGAGAGAGAAAGACATATTGGGATGGTTAGTACAATCTATATTTATTTTCCACGTGAAAACCATGTGCATGTAGACTCAATCTTAACATATACGTCTTCAGCTGTTGAGGCATAACTCGTTCATGAGCTGCCGTTTTAGTATGTAGCTAAATCAAAGAAACAAAACCAAGTCGTCTCCTCCTCCTCCTCCTTGCAACTGAGAATGATCGAGTTTGATTGCATTAAGGTTTAGCCATGCCATGATGAACTGCAGTTTCACATTCCCTAACCATCACATTCTTTGCTGGTAATAACTGTTGTTGTTACTTGTTAACAAGAGATTAATAACCATTTTTACTGGATATCAAGAGACTCTTCGGTTCATATCAATCTCGATCAAATTTACAAGTCCTTTAACATCATCAAATTGGACTTGACATAGAAAATCTGAAGGTGGCATCATTTTCAGACACGCAAGACGGCGAGTGTTGGTCTATCTTCTCGGACAAAAGTACTTGGGTTAGGAGCATGTTTCAAAGTCGCGGTCGCTGCTTGGATCATTCCACATCGATTTCGACATATCGATCGCGTTCTCGGCGATACGCGAATTTTTGAAATATTTAATATTCTAAAAATTGTAAAAAATATGATAATTAAAAATAATTAAAAATCAGTAAAAATAATAAAAATTCAAGTTGATTCGGGATGACTCGGCCGTTTCAACCCTTCACGATGACGTCTCGATCTGTCACGTATCTCGGAAACGTTTCGTCGCGAACTCGTCCCGGGCTAGGCGGAGTCTTCGAACCATGGTTAGGAGAAGGAAAACGCCGGCGCTTTCAATTCTCTCGTCTTATTATTGGGAGGGAAAAAAACCAGGCATATAGAGAAATGAAATGAAATGATAACCTTATTCAGCAGTTTAGGAGTTCATCTGGGCTCAAAATTCGATCCCTCCCCTTTCTGAACATAATGCAACAAACTACTGGTTGTTCATTTGCTAATTCAAATGAGAGGGTGAAAACTAACGAATGTAGTTATAATCTTCATCATAATTTGAGTTTGGAACTGGCAACGTATTGTATCCTCGCCAAATTCCCAATTTATTTTCACAAACCAGCATTCCATCTCGTTCAATCGATCACAAGATATTGGCAGAAGAAATCTATGGAGCTAATGCCCCAGATAAATCTGAGCCAGCATATACAGATTTAGATAAAAGTCACAGTGGCTAGTAATAGAATATTATCAACCCCAAAGATCTAATGCTACCTGCACTACTAGTAAAATTTAACGAGGAAACTCGTTATGGTTCATAACATCTTCTTATTTTGAGTAGTAGTAAAATAAAAGCTGGCTCGAGGAAAAGGGTTTATTTATTTTTTTTCAAGTCTCAAGAAGATTAGGGTCATTAGCTCTCCAACCCAGCCCCCCTATTTAGCATTTCCTTGTACCTTAAAATCGAATCCAACCTTTGCAGTTTCAAATGCTGTCTGAAACGATTTATGAAGGCATCCGCTTTCTTGTCCACATGTTCCTCCTCCCCGAACGTCAACGTTTCAGTTTCACTCGAAGACCTCCCCTCTCTCTCCCTCATCGTCGCCGGCCGCCACCGATCCACCTCCTCCCGGTCCTCCGGCACTGCCACCGCCTTCTCGCTTGCCGACTTCTTCATCCTTCGAGCAGGGCCACCATTCCCCGCCGGAGCCTCCACCCGCGTCTGCAACTTGCTCTTCATCATCTGATCATCATGATGATGACTCTCCAGCAGAGCTTCTTCCTGCGCAACGTTTTTTTGCTCTTGCTCTTCACGTGGGTCGGATTTCTGGGTCACGGCGTGAAATGGGTCGGGCTGCTCGGAGACGTAGGAAGAGAAGTTAAAGGACTTGACCCGGTCGAGAAATGAGGGGGCTCGGACGAGCTGATTCTGGCTGGGAGGTGAGTTGGCGGCGGGGTCTGGTTTGTTGTGGGATTTTAGGCGTGAGGTGATGAAGATGGTTCCTATCACCAGGTTCACAATGCAGAAAAGAATAGCAGGCGTAAACAAGCTAGTCATGGAATCTACGATAGGTAAAGCTGCGTTCATGGCGGCGGTGCGACGTCGTTTGACCAGGAAGACCAAGAATGGAAGTGCTTTCGGAAGTCGGACCTAGTGTAGATACTACGGGAGATGAAGACTAGAGTCGAGACTTGGGAGTTATAATAGGGAGAGGAGTGAAGGTGGGAACTGCGGATTGGACTGTGGTTGGAGTAGGCGACTGTTGTGTGTGTGTGTGTGTGTGTGTGTATGGGGCCAGGGGAAGAAGTGGGGACTGAGGGGGTCGCCGGTGAGCAGTGGGGGACCTGGGGGTGTGATTGTCCAAGGTACCACGTGGTAATAATGGGAACGTGATTTCTTATTTGGGACAATTACCTTTATTATCTTATTGCAGGTGAATCATTTAGTTACAAGCATATTGCACATTTTCCCCAATAAGTTATAAGTTATCTTAAACTCTCTGTCTCGTATCAATAGAATCACAAATATTCTGCTAAATACAGGGACTATAATGATAAATCTAATATTATGAAATACCACCTGACTAAAATTCAAAGATGTTGTAACTTTCTTGAGCGTTGAACTTCGTTCAATTAATAAAAAAAGAAGAAAAAACTTACAAATAGGCCAGCCATGACAGCATTAGGGCTCTTTGTACTTTATTTTGGAATTTAGAATTAGAATTTGTTATTTACTAACCAAGCCTAATGTACCTATCCAAAGAAAAAAAAAAGGGGGAAAATTAGGTTGTGTTTGAATTGCATTTTCCGTCATTTTTCATGGAAAAATTACTGTAGCGATTTGATATATGTGAGGGAAAAAGGTGATAGGGAAATGTGATCACGGAAAACGACAATATTTTTCGACGGAAACAAGCAATCCAAACAAGGCCTTACTAACCTAATGCTTTATCCTCCACTTCGTCTTGGTACCTGCACAGTTGAATAATAAGAAGGTACTTGAGTAAAAGAATCCATATTTTAGGCTTAACATGATTTATGTTTTGAGAACCATGTGAATAAATTTTAAGGTTTGGATTGTAATTTTTGGAGTTTTTGTTTAAAAAAAATAATTCTATAGCGAATGTAGTATAAGTAAGGCAATAAAGTAATAAAAATGCGTCAAAAATTTTTCACAAAAAACTCACAATCCAAACAGGTATAACCGTATAAGGTTATTAAACGTATTGCGCTTAAAATTTTTGAATTTTGATGATGGTGATGGTGACAACTGCCATGCTCTGGTAGTTGAACGAAGGATGAGACTGAAAAACTTTGAAGTATGTATTTGAATTGAATAAAAGAAATAGGAGCAAAATACAACTATCTTTGGATCTAATTACAGTAGTCTTTTTTTTTCTTTTTTTTTTTTTTTAAACTCATGTACGAGTGTGGTCGCTTGGGGGACCTAGGAGTATTAATTTGGTTGGTGTGAACTTGACTGACAGAAAATGGAAAACTGTAGTATGAACCCGACGACGACTTCTAGCTAGCAGATAGAAAACTCGATGACTTTCAAATTTGTAAGGAGGAGGGTAAACTTGATAGTGCTGGTTGATTTTTCATTCGGTTTAAGAAAAGTAAAAATTAACTTTATTAATGGAAGGATGAATTTAGCCTACTATCTTTTTAAAATATTTTTATATTAAACGGAGTATTACTAATTAATCTTATATTAATTACACTAATAGTAAGTATTGATGAAAAGTTAAGTTATAATAAAAAATAATAATCTATGTTAGATAAAGACATTTTAGAAAAATTCAAAGTTAAGTACACGCTTCAATTGGAAAATAGCCTGACGGATGAAAAAAGAAAAATAAACCTATTAAAGTAGGGCGGAAGAGGTATTATTTTTAGTCCATATCGACCACATTTGCTTAACTGCTTGTTACTTTCAGATTATTTTAAATTGCACAAATTATTTCAGCGGTGCATCTCGGTATATTTTAGTCTCTGTGTGCTTTTGACTTTTCATGCATTTTTAGAAGAAAATGCTGTTTTAATTTTATAAATTAATTCCACTTCCGGAATGAATGCTGTTTTGGAAACTGAATAGGCTAGGCTGCTTTCGTTCACCCTTTAGGAGACTGACGAAGCTGATTACAAAAACATATCCAGATTACTTCATCTAATGTGATTAAGGATCGTCTATCTGTTGTTGTTATTATTAGTATTAGTGACTTAACATTTTTCAAGATACGTTAATTTCTTGGGAATTAAAAAAATTAGTTATATCTACTTCCGGTGCATTGCTTTGTACCCTAAGATTCTCTCCCGGTGTTTATAAGATATTGGTGACTGTTACATACAGTTGAGCTATAGTAGCAGCATCAATTGTGTAAATTGAGAATGACAAAATCGCAAGAAACTTGCGCTATTAGGAGTCATGCATGCATGGTTTAACATGGACAGACAGATAATGGTGTGATGAAGTTGACTTGCTTCGATAAAAAAGATGGCATCATCTTAGAATAATGGTCTGTTTCATAGTTTAACCTGAGATTTGTAAAGATGTTTGTAAAAAATAAAAAATTGAACTTTCATTGCTCCAAAGTCTGAACAAAACCTTACTATACAATCTTCCTGCAGGTATATCCTCATAGCAATTTGTTTCTCATTCCAAAGCGAAAGAAATACCACTCATCTACGATCCAGTTTTCTCATTCAGCTGTACAGTATTTTTCCAGTCTTAACATTTTTCTTGGAATGGAAACTGACTGAGTCGAAATGTGTGTGCCCCCTCTTTCTGGGTAGATCATAGATGCATGGTTTTGAGTCAAAAATGCCCTGCGGTTATCTTTTCCTCTTGCTGAAGGGATTTTCGTAGTTATTGGATCGAGGCATGATCAACAAAGAGGAAAAAGAACAGTTTATGCGGGAAACAGAACTGAGCAATCCATATAAGCGGACCACTGGTTTATTAATTAACTACACATATCTCTGCCTTTTTCCAATCCATATAAATATCGGACCATATTAAACTGTTTACAAACAAAGGAAGACAAAAACTTCCAACAGACGGGAGCTGGTTGAATTTTGAAGAAGATCACTGATGAGAGGTTATTCACGTACACATGTTTCTTTTCTATGTTTTCTGGGGTGTAAAAAGCTTTTTAATAGTTTCTGTCTGTCTGTCTAGACCTCCTGAGTCTTCTCCTCCTGTTGTGGCGTCTGTGCAGACTTGGAAAATGGAATTTAGCGATGCTATAAGAAGTTAAGAACAGCTCTCGTTCCTAAGGGCGGCTAAGGCCGAAGCAAAGTATAGTAGTATTAAGTGGCGTCACAATTTTGCATGTCGGCTTCAAGCATGAATCCTTTGAAATTGTACGTTTGTGACTAATAATCACAATCATGATCCATTAGACTCCATCACGCTATAATTATTTTCAGATCAATACCACGTAATTGTGCATGACTTCACTTTCAATTTCCATGATAATGATTACTTCACTATTCCACCTCTGGAATTGACTAATCTTCATAAAACGAGCCATATAAGGTGTAAAAAGCCCTTGTGGGGGTGTTTCAGTCCCACGTCGGTCTTGGGGGTTGGGGTTTGGTAGATAAGTCCCCTGAAACCTTTCAAAAGTTGCCGGCTTTTGAATGTAATCCTGGGGTTTAGGGTTTGTTTGTCGCATTCTTACATTCCGTAAGAAAATGTCAGAAAAAAAAAAGGTGTAAAAAGCTTCATAGGTGTTTCTGTCTAGACTTACTGAGTGGGACACGGGTCCAAACAATTGTCTGGAAAATCATTCAATTGATTTTATTATGCAAAAATGCACAAGACATAGCTTTATATATATATATATATATATATATATATATATGTATATGGTATAATTTATTTTTAATAATATATAACTATAGAATAAAATTTCAGTAACGGTAGTGAGCATGCTCCTCCTGTAACTTACGTGGTTGGGAGACTTTGGAAATTGGAATCTAGTGATGCTATTAGGTCCCGAAGTCTCACAAAACCGGTGCCCCAAAGTTGATAAGTCCGGATCTTATCAACAAGGTTGGAATGGCAACTATCTTGCCAAAAATGCCCTGTAGCTTGCGATACAGAGAACTAATAGAGACTACTATCACAAAATTTATAAATTTTGTAAGTCGGCTTCAAGTTCAAGCATGAATCCTTTGACAATTGAACAGTGGTGGCTAACCACAATCATGATCGATTAGACTCCACTGCGCTACTATTACTTACGATCAATTAACACGTAATTACGTATGACTAACCTTTTTCAAACTTCCCGCTGATAATGATTACTATTTCACTATTCCAACCTTTCCAAATACTTGACGGATGTTTTCAAATCATGCGTTCTACTCTATGATGATAACTGAAGGGCCATACCACGCAATACACTACTGATTCTTTTCTTGATAAGAAGTATGCTGACTGACTCCATAACTTACTCTTGCTGACCATTAATTTGTAGACTCCATGACCACCAGCTTTTGGGCCAGTAGCCACCGCCTAGACCTTAATATTTGATGGGGGTGGGAGACAAGAGTTAATTGCCATAATATATGGCTTCTCTAAAAAATTTAGATGGGTGCGAGTGCTCAGTGCACTTCTTTGATCCGATGGTAGTTCAGTGTCCATCGATTTCTCGTAAATCAAATTGGATCTCCTCTTAAGTTATAATAGAGTAGGATTATATAGATAAGGTGACGATTTGAAAAAAAAGAGTTAAATCGGATCTCATAGTTGCTCGATGGAAATTCGGGCTCAGCCTCATAATCAGGTCCAAGGAATGCGTGGGTCCGAGGCTGTGCTAAACTTCAAGACCCAAAAGTGCTGATTGCGCATTGTGGAAGTTTAGTCCAACGAATACCAGTACAATTTAGTGGGCTTTTGTGCGGCCCGCCAAAAACAGTCACAGCCCAATTTCAACTTCTCCGTCTGCTCCCCGCCTCTATCTTCCGGTTGCCACCTCATCTTCTCTCTCACGCACAAGAACACTGATGACTCCGGCCCCTCGAATCCTCCTCTGCGGCGACGTCCTCGGCCGCCTCAACCAGCTCTGCAAACGCGTC